ATTGTGATAACTATGTACTTATGTATCAGATCACATTGTAAACCTTGAATACATCGGATCCATGTTAAAAAGAAGTAAATGTTTTAAAATAAAAAAAGATGAGAGGAGACATCAGTAAGTAGTGAAATAAAAGAGGAAGGTAATTTTCTTCAAAGAAAGAATTTTAAGATATCACAACAAAAACAAAGCAAACTGTATCTTGGTAGCAGGTCAGGATGTCACAGACATGTTTTGTCTGGAATCTGTCCTGTCCACTCTGTTCATCCCAGATGCCGTTCAGCTTCCTTTCATCTGCTGGTTGAGATGCACCCTTTTTGTAAGGAATTGGAGAAAATGCTGAAGGGCACAGTCATCTCTCCACCGGGACAACATTGGCTGTGCCTTCTAAAATCTCTCAAGCATAAGGGATAATACAGAAACCTCAACATCATCAAAGAAAAGCCTCCACCAACTCCTAAACTGTTCTCCTGGACTCCACATTTTAGAAAATTCAAATTTTTCCTTTTCCTTGCACAGACTATATGTTGTTGAATCCTATGGGAAGGAAAAAAATTCTTCTTTACATATTATCAACCATAAAATCTATCCTAGGAAAAGGAAACACTGCATGTCTTTGCAAGGAAGAAAATTCAACAGCAGGCAGGACAGGGCAGCTGCATAACTCTCATCCACTGCAAGCTATCTGATGACCAGTTTCTTGTTTTTCTTTTTTCAATATATATTATGTTAATGTTTAAAGTAACACATAAAAATATCCATATTTGTAGGGTACTGCGTGATATTCCTATGTATATATATGAGCAGGTTAAACACACTGGTCTCCTGAAACATTTACCATTCTTTGGTGGTAAAGACAATTTTTCTCTTTAAAGCCTGTTGTAGTGGTGACAATCTGGCTTCACCTATTGCCAGAGCGACTGTGGCACAGGATGACCCCGCCCACCAACCCATTTATGAATCCTGCAGTGCTCTCTAAATGAGTAACAGAGTATCACACAAGCCCTAAGGGAAAGAGTGTGTCAGCTGAGTGTCAAATTTGTTTGTAGCTGAGGATTTCATGAGGAATTCTTTTTAAAAAATTAAAAGTTGTTCTCTGGTCTCGACCATGCTAGCTGTTGCTCAGATAATTGGAAACAATCTATTCTTGAGCACTTTCCCTGAATGACATTCTCCAGGCCAAAAATATATTCCCAAACTTCACAAAAAACTTGAAGAGTTGCCAAAGCTATATGAGTCAAGCAACTACATCCCAGAAGTGAGAAAGGCTGTCTTGTAAAATCCAGAGCTGAAATCTTGTGAGTAGGGAGAGGGAGCTGGGCACGGCTGGTTGGACACACTAGACATTCACAGGCTCCAAGATTCACCCAGGGATGCTAATGTCTCTTCTCGGAATCGAATTCACTTAGCAGGAAAACAATTCTCTAACTCATGATGTACAAAGTGAGTGCTTTTATTCCTGTAAACTAAGTCACTGAGTGATTTCTGTTCAAACCTTCAGGGATTTATAACTAAATTGTATTCCTTTTCTGTTTCTTTTCTCTTTTTGGAACTGAATAGGCTTCGTGTGCTATATAATTTGTCTTTCTGCTTTTCTCCCTTCCTGTTCAAAGTCTCCTTTATCTTACCATAAGGGCCCAGAAAGCAATTGGATGGGGAAATAGTCGGTGTATCACATTTTAACGTTGTTCGGATTCTTTCTGATTTTTATAAAAACGTGGTGTAATGGTAAGTATTTGAGGGATTTCCAGTCATTTTATCTATATACAAATTCAGCTTTAACTGAAAATTATCCAATACATTTAAAGCTCCTAATAAAATTTTCAGCAGGAATCAAATGCTTGCAAAGTAATTTATCCATAAAGCAGAATCTTCTGCACTTCCAATTTCTGCTTGGTCTTTTGGAGCCCAGAGGGGCTGAACCCTAGGGAGGGAAAAGGAAACTGAGCCTGAGTTCTCCACTGAGGAGCAAGGGCAGCAAGCACAGTCTCACCCTGAATGCAGCAGCAGCCTGAGGCCAGGTGTCTTCAGAGCGAATTTTTAAGTGTTAGACTAAAGAAACCTTGAAAAGACCCTAGGCCAATGTGACCCTGCTAATAAACTCATTTGAGTGTGTTGTAGATTTCAAAATAGGTAGAAGAAAACATTCTGAATGTTCCTAACTCAAAGAATAAATGATGTTTCAGATGATCAATTTGCTAATTACCCCGATTTGATCATTAGACAGTGTAAATGTGTATCAAAAGAATACAGAGTACCCCATAAACATATATAATTATTGTGCATCTACTAAAAGTAATTTCAAAACCAGTAAGTTTTAAAATGAATTTTATCAATAATGAAAACATTAGGGGCCGGGAATTTAGCTTAGTGGTTCTGCTGCCTGCCTCACAAGTGCAAGGTCCAGAGTTCAATCCCCAGTACCCTTATTAACATTAAACTAATATAAATGTAAGAATAGCATTCATTTGACAACACTGAATTTTTTAAAATGACAGTTACTTCATTTGTGGAAAACTAATTCTAAAGAAATGATGATAAACACTAAAGAAAATCCATGGAAAAATCTATTTGGGAGAACAAAATGGGTGTTTCAGAAACAAACAGAGTCAAACATTTTATGTTGTAGACAAACTACTCTGCTCAATGGCCTAATGGTAAAATATGCTCACAAAAATTTAAATATAACATGGGAATTGCTTTAGATTTTAAAAAATCAATTGAAAAGCTAAGAGAAAAACATCTCTACAAACCAATTGCAAAATATGCAAATGCGAAGAAGCACCTGCACTTGGTAAAAAGCTGGAAAAGAAAGTTGACGTCATTGAGCAACATTGTTCCAGGTGGTTCTTCATATGTCTAACTTTACAGCTGGTTCCATTTTCATGACTCTGTATGACTTTCACGATAAATTTGTTTCAAAATCTACATTTCTTCAAAAGTAGGCAAAAAAATAGGATGATTGATCCATACAAAGGTAGCAATTACTCACATTTATCTGTTGATTTATTATTTGAACGCTGAGAGTTTGGTTAAATATCCTTTGATCCACACATTTTATCTCACCTGGATGTCAAATACATTTTTTATCTCACCTGGATGTCAAATAGAATTAACTGAATAAACACACAGAAAGGGAATGTGTTGCATTAATTTGTTTTAATAAATCCCTGTGTTACCTGAAAATGTGCTAATATCTTTCCCTATCTTCTCTCATAAAAAATCTTATATACATAATATTAAAGAAAAAACAGAAATGCTCAAAATACACAACTGCATGACATCAATATTTTAAGTAAGTAAATTTTTCCCAATAAAACTGGAGGCCTTAGGAAAAGTAGGATAAAAAACTTTGAAATAGTCTACTTCATGTAAAGATTCCTTAGAACAATACAAAAATTTCAGTAGAGCTAGGATCCCACCTGTTATAAATGCCATTTGCCCATTTGACAAGCAGGTGCAGTGAATGCCTTGGTTCATGAACGTCATTCTTTTCACAATTCAGGTCACACTGTAGTATATGGCAGTTTGATCACAACCAGAATCATGGCACAAATTCTGGAACCAGAATCATGGAAAGAATTAAATTCGTAAACTGAGGTATCACTGTACTTTACCTAGTGCTCCAGGTCGATGCTCAGGCCATGTGGCCCAAAGCAAGTTGGGAGGCAGATGACCTGGACCCAGACATGCCCAGGCCCATTCCTGAGCCAAGCACAACTTTGGCACCTGGGTTTCTGTTTTGGTCCCAAGTCTGAAGTCCCAGATCCAAATGCCTGCTTTCTATCCCAGGTGCTCCAGGACCCCGGGCTAGCGTTCTGCTTTCCTATGCCAGACAAGCAAGGGACAGATAATCAAAGCTATCTAATTATTTGTTAATGAGTGAAAGAATGCATCTGTCTCCTGAGCCCCACACGGCCGTTGCTGATGGATTTTCTTTCCGCCTTTCTGTCTGCTGCACGGCCCAATCATTTAGTCACTCATTTCTTGTCCCTGGTGTGTACTAGGCAGAATGTTCAACAGAAAGGCCCTTCCTACTTCAGTCTTGCACCTTCTCATTCTGTGGGTACAAAGGTGCAGTTAACATCACCCAAACTAACCACTGTTTGTGTTAACTAACGAGTAGAGGAGCGCAATGTGGAATTATAAGACTCAGGAATCACTTCTTTGGCTGAAAAACCCTAGTGCATGGCTAACAAGGAGAAGCTGCAGATGCCGTGTCTGGGGCAGGGGTGCAGAGTTGCTGGTCTTTTCCTAAGGATTAGCACTGTCGGGCATCATCACATTTTACAAAGTCAATTTATTTTGAGAATCTCAAACCTCTATCAAATTCCCTTTTCCTTATCAGAAAACTCTGGAAATCCTCTTAAATTCTCTTATACTCAGTCTCCTAAAGTCATGATGTGTCCTAATGTGACCACACTTGATAAATGTTAACTTGATTATTATTGCCATGCTGAAGTATTTGAGGTTGACACTCATTATTTTGCCAACTTGTTTCCAAATGATGTCAAAGTATATGTATAAATAAAGATTAAGCAATTGTGGTAAAATGTGGCAACTGGTGAATGGGAGTTAAAAGTGTACAGATATTTGTAGTACTATTATATTAACATTTCTGTATACTTGAATTCTGGCAAAATTTCAAAAAAAATTAAGCAAAAAGAATTTTTAAAAATATAGTGTAACAGCTGTGCCTCTCCTCCCTAGAAATTTGTGAACACCAGCAGTGGTTACAGACTAGAGTGCTTTGTAAACCACAGATCCCTGTCTGGGCACGAGCAGTTACAGAGAGGGCTCCTTGGGTGACACTAAGTCATCCCTAGATCACCTGGCCAAGCCTCCCACCTTTGATGGTTGATGGGACTCCAGCCAATCGGTGCTGCTGCAGCCCCTCCACATTACATATGCAGAACTGGCCTCCTGGCTCTTTCCTGTGCCCAGCCCCAGCTGCAGACACCACACACAGAGCCCTGCTCTTGAGAAGAGGAGGCTAAGTCTAAAGCTCCAGAAACCTCAGACAGAATCAATCCTCCCTCATCTGCTGGCTTCCAAGTTTTGCTGCAGCCCCCAAGGGCTACCGGCAGGAAGTCCACTGCAATGAAGCCCTCAAAGGCATCCCAGCGCTACCGAAGCATCCGCAGAAATGCCAGCCAGCGCTACCTCTACCAGGAGTCCCTGTTGCTCAGGTAAGTGGTTTCCCTTCATCAGCGGGGCAGAAGAGGCAGCTATATGAACATGGGTCACCAAGCCAGGGGCTCAGTCCTCATCCTGCTCAGTTCCTCTTCAGCATAACTCAGAAGCTTATTCACCTGTGGTGTCCACCTCAGCTGTGCCTGCAGAAGGGATGGCAATGGCTGCTCACTCAGGGCCAGAGGATGGGATACCTGTAGTCTACCTCCTAGCCCAGCTTTATGCTGCAAGCTCCATATGCGAGCTTTCTCGCTTCTCTCTCTGTTTATAAGACAGCAAATCATGCATCCTTCACAATAAATACACTGTCAGTTAGAAAAGGCTCAGAGCAGTTGGAAGTGAATGAAGATACGATTTGAGTTTGTTAGATCATTGTAATGAATATTTTGTTAAGTAATAAAACCTTTTACTTTGGGGAAACTGGAAAAAATTTTCCTTTGAGTAAGTCAGCACAGTCTGAATTATAGAATGACGCAGGGAATACTTTCTCTTCTAACAGCTATAGAAGAATATTCATCTTCTCCCAAAAAGGTTGCATTAGGATTAGCATATTAATTATTACTTGAAATGAATGGTGCTGCATAGTGAAACATCATTCTTCTAGAGAGCAACTATTTCCTTGGATTACTTTGCCCAGATACACTTGCTGAGCTAATTTCTCGTTCATAGAAACTACCACTTCGTTCGAGCTTTTGTTACCTCAGGTTTAAAATGAATCAAAAAGAACAGAAGTTTCATTTTTATTTATTTTACCTTCAGAGTTGGGGAACAAGGAGGAGTTCTGCTTCTAAAATTATCCAAGTATTTCAATAAGCCGATAAAGGAAGTTATTTGCCTACCAAGATTGTTGCAGGTCAGGAATCAAATCCTTCACAAGTGACTCCGTGTCTGATTTTGTGTCTTCTAATAACATCTTCCATCCTCAGAAACCTTTCTTCCTCCCTGATCATCAAAGTAATAGACTCCAAGAAACACATTCCAAAGGGCTGCTGACCCTGCCTGTTCTCTCTCTACTTCTCATACACCCACGTACACATGCTTCATACAAATGACCCTGTCAAACTTTCCCGAGGAAAGATGATCTTTTCTGGAAGCAATTCCACTAATCAGATTTCCTCCTTAATGCCCTGATCCATTTAGTAACTTCGATGACAGCTTTAATGCTGATGAAACGGGGGACAGCAGTGACCCGGAACAAATCTTCCAGAACATACAGTTCCAGAAAGATCTCATGGCAAATATTCGCTGCAGACCCTGGACCATGGGACAGAAGCTGAGGGCGCTGAGGTGAGGTCCCTGTCACAGTGCCTGATTGCTGTAAAGATGCTTTCTGACACAGGGCCATGCCCTTCCCCGTGGAAACAAAGATCAAAGATCTGGTCCTTGACCTGACTCAGGGAGGTCACTAAGATGGCAGAGGGTGTGTGTTTCAGTATGTGGTATCTGAGTGTATGTTGAATGTGTGTGTTACTGAAAAGTTTTCTGGCCTTCTGCCTCCTTCCCTGACAGTAGCTTCTAATGGCCAAGCCCGGTCAGAAAGAGGTATTTTAGCTCCCTTGCTATAATATCCTTGGGGGAGAAAATCTGTACAGAATCCCAGAGTATTGTGATACTTAGGATCCTAGTAGATAGTCTGGCTATATAATAATTAAGTCCAAAGGATGTGCATACAGAATGCCTGAATTTGAATATCATTTCTACAATCCCTAGCCATTTTGGTATTTTTCTTTTCAGTGCTAGGGAAGGATGGAACCCAGGGACCTAGCATTGAGCTACAACCCGAGCCCTTTTTTATTTTTATTTTGCAACAGTATCTCACTAAATTACACAGCCTCAGCAACTTACAATCCATCCTTCCTTGTCCTCCAGGGTACTGGGATTACAAGAATATGCCTGCCAAGCCTGGCTCATTTTCTTAATCTCTCTAAACACTGGTAACTTTCTCTTCCAAGTGGAGGTGATCATGAGGAATAGCCCTTATCTCTCACAGCAGCCTTTCCAGCAGTGACAATTTACTGGACTCTTGGGTGCTATTAAAAACCCAAAACCCCATGTTGCCTTCAGACCTACTGAGCCACACTATGGGACAAGGCCCAGCATTCATTTTCTTGTGACAGTGCTGGTCCTGGAACCCAGAGCCTCTTACGTGATAATCAAGTTCAGCCACAGGGCTGCACAAGCACTCACCAGCATTTTAAACATGCATCTGAGCAGATTCGAGTTCTAGATTTGAGCATTGTGCATTGGTCATGGTTTATGGGAACTTTAAATGGGCTGGAAAGTCACTATTGTGGGATCAGGTCATTTCTCTTAGTCTATAGCCCCTGATTCATTTTGTGTTTGTGCAAAGTTATTTGTCTGGAGCTGAGGGTCTCCTGGTCTGGATGGCCTGTCCCATAGGCGAGGATTAGGCCAGGCCAGTTAATTAGGGGTACTGATATTGTTATGAGGCTAAGAGAATGTGGAGAAGGTGTCCTTCAGACTTTTCCTTCCACTACATCCACCTCTTAGGTGGGGTGCTGGACACTCAGAGGTGTGAAGAGACCCGCCCAAAGAGCACATGGTTTTTGAGTGCTAGAATGAAACTATCAACATCAGCTTTCCAACCTTGCTTCCAGTGTTGTCTACCAAAACATGGGAATTCTACCAGAGTAATCACTGGGGCAGTTAATTTAAAGATTAAAAAAAAAAAAAAGGACTCACATTCTATCAGAACTTTTTTCAATGATTTAAAAATCATTTCAAAATAATAATTGAATGTTCTCTGAAAAAGAGCGTAAGCCCTTTTCACCTTGATGTCAGAGCAGAGCAAATGATGACTTTTCAGTCCAGGAACTTTGGAAACAAAAGACCAGCCGTGCCTCCCGCCATGCTACTGGGCTGAGCCACCCAGCCAGAGCTCACACTGGGTGACACCGGCCACAAACCAGGCCAGTGGCACAGCTACCCAAGGGCAGCTCGCCCTCCAAGCACTTCCATCTGTCAGCCCTTATGACACACGCCTCTTCTCTGTCACCTTGCAAAGCTAATGGAGCAGCACTGCTCTGATTAGATCCACTGAGGCTTATCGTGAGGAACTGGGAAAGAACAGGGGACTCAGAGCCCGAATCCAGGAGCTTTGCCTGGCACAGATCGGAGCACCTGTCTGAGAGAAGGTAGCACACACGTTTTCCTTGCAGGGAAGTGAATGGTCAGATAGGTGATCACTCTGCTGTAGCTGCATTCAGGTTAGGCCCACCCCACCCCGCTTCCCCTCCACCATGGCATTTACCGCGCACACACTGTCCTAGTCATTGTACCTCTAAATTACCTTCATCTCCACCCCCCAATGAGCTCTTCCAGAGCAGCAACTCTATTTTGCTATGTCTGACTGAAAACAGGAACTCATAAATGTTTGCAGGAAAGAATAACAGTCATGTGAAATGTATCATCATTTGACTTTGCTAGATTTTATTTTTCAGATGCCACAGCAGATAGATCTCTTGGATTGCAAGCCTTATCTCTCTTATATTGACCACGATGAAGCCAGAGCATTGCATTGGGAGGGCCATGATCATAAGAATTCCTGCAGTGAGTGGATAGAGAGGTCCAAACCCCAGTGTTCTGACAGGCCATGCTTTGAAAAGATCAGCTTGCTGTGAAAAAGTGAGTTGGCCTGTCCTTTGTGTCTGGAGGAAGGACTTGTTAGCAGAGGATGTTACAGGGTTGCTGCTTGGGACACACACACACACACACACACACACACACACACACACACACAGAGGAGAGAATTTGCCAAACTAGCAAATTGGCTGATTCAGAAGAGCTCTTGAGTCCTGAACCTGACCAAACAGAGGGTAAGGAGGAGCTCTGCTCTGGAGTGGTGCAAGATGAGGTTACTCTGAGGAGATGCTCGTCTCCAAGAGCCCCTGGCTCCAGTCTGTCTCGGGGCACCGACACTCACCCTAGTCCTGCTATTCATGCAGTTGTGGATTTAACCATCAATCCCAATGGATTCTGCCCATTTTTCAGGATTAAACATTTAGATAACCATAGCAGGTTAATTCAACAACGTGGTGCGTGGACAGCTGGTTGGACGGAGTCAGAGTGTTCATGGCTACATAAACAACTTTCTTGCTTCCACTAACCAGACATCACTCTTTCCTTGAATCAGGTTCTCTGAGGCCAGTCTGATTTTCACTTCTAAAGAACTGACAAAGAGGAAAGTGGCAAAGTGAGGAGCTGAGACAGAGTTTCCAAAGCTAGTGATTCCCAGCCAGCCTCCAGAATTTTAAGAAATTCAGTTATAATTACTTTTGGTATGCAGTCACCATTTTGGATTAGTTTGTCTATGTAGCCATTGAATAATTTTGTGCGTCGAACTGGGATGAAACCCAGAGGTACTCTACCACCGCTCTACATCCCCGGCACTTTTTATATTTTATTTTGAGACAAAGCTTCTCTAAATTTCCCGGGCTGGGCTCCAACTTGTGATCCTCCTTCCTCAGCCTCCCCAAGCACTTGGATTACAAATGCACTCAGCTAAAGAAAAACAAATTGAAAGGTGTTTTCTAGCTAACAATAGTAAGGAAATGAAACCTAGGGAGGGTCTCCCTCCCACAGCATCTCTTCCTGCTTTGTTTGGTGACTTGTTCCTCTTGCTTTTCCACATATATTCTGCAAAAATTATAAGTACGATAAAATTATGCTCACAGTTATGTTTTCTTTACTCAGGCGAGCGAAGGAGATTGTGCTGAAGTTTGAAGGGAGGCTGACCAGGACTCGAGGCTACCAAGCAGCAGGCGCAGAGGTAAAGAAACACCTGGGATGCTGCTGACCCTGCCTGGGGCTGCACTTGCCGGGGTCCATGGGTTGTGAGCTCAGTTGTCAGCAGCTCGGAGAAGGAAGTTGCACTTGAAGCCCTCAGTTTCTGAAACTTGGAGTTTAGTCCCAGCTGCGATGCCTCAGCAGTTACGTGCCCCAGCTAAACCTTGTGCCTCAGGAAAGGGATGTCCTGATTTAGCCCACCTACAGATGCAGGTTCCTTGCTGCATAGCCTCGTGTGTCCTTTGCTTTGAGAAGGCTACAGCGCACTCCAGCTTGGATCTGTAGTGCAGTGCTGAGGTTTCGATTGTGATTTTTCCCAAGCAGTCCCTTAAAGTTAAACTCTAGCACATCTTGAAACTATCTGTCTAAAGAAACATTTCATATGTCTTTTGAAAAGAAGGGAAAATCATTTCTTCTATGCCCCCTTCTATCCCAATGTCATCTTTTTAAAATTTTCATGTGACAGTTACTGCATAAATGTGTGATTTTCACCTTGTAGTGATTACAGTATACAAACATTTTTGTCCTGCTTCTTTTTACACTTAGCACCATAGGGATTTTCCCATGTTGCTATAGTTTTTAATAGTCACCATTTTCAGTAACTGCTTAATATTAATCTGATAAAAATATATTAACTTAATTGGACATTTGCCTGCTAGTATTTAAATTGCTTCTAACTTTCCATTATTATTAATAATCCTGCAAAAATATATTTGCCAAATATGTATTTTCCTATCTTTTTAAATTATTTTCTTAGGCCAAATGTTAGAACTGTAATTACTACAGAAAGAGATTATGATCCATTTTTGGCTATTGATAAATATTTTTAAATTATTTTCCAAGACCCTTGATAATTTATATTGTCATCCTCCATTAAATAATTTACTGGCCTCAAAATATCTGCATAATCACTGAATATTGTATATTTCAAGTTTATTTTAATAGAAAAATGATACTCTTATTAGCTTCTCTGAAGCAAAATTAAAATGTCACAAATTTTACATGTCTGAAAAATTATATCAAAATATCTCCAAGGTTCTGCCTTCATATTCTTTCTTCTTACTCTTCATAATAATCTTCCTGATTTATGAACAATCTCTCCCATGACTCCTTATGCCTGTCCCACTCTGGGGGAGTTCATGAAATATATATACAAAGCAAAATCATCATTTCTAATCACACATGCTGACAACACTCTTCTTGTTTTTCTCTAAGTAAACTGTTTGAAGTGCTACAGGAAGACATTTGTGAGATAATTTGAGGCCCTTCACTTGGGCACAGACAATCTGTAACACATACAGCAGTATGAAAAGGTTAACAGGAAACCCAACATGGTTCAGGAACAACTTCACAACGTGCTGAATTTCCAGAAAAGTGTTCCAAGCTTCCACTTTATGGAGAGACTGCCCAAAAGTTTTCAGCAGTGCTATGCATGCAGGGCACCCCTTTCTTCCCACAGCCCCTGTGGCCAGGCAGGAAGCACCTCAATCCAGGTCAGCACAGCCCTATGCCAGGTCTTTGGCTGGCACACTGCTGACACTGGTGGCACACTGCTCTGCTGCCATTGTTAAAGAAAAGCTCTCTCTTTAGCCAATCTTCATATTGCCAATAGCTCAATGAGTCTTATCTCTATGTATGGGCCTTTGTTTGTTTTATAAAAACAAAACAAAACAAAAAGACTTGGTTTTCCAAATAGTAAACTTCATAGAATATTCCTCTATCCCCACATGACTTCCACCCACGAGATCTTGGTGCAGCATCCCCAGCTTGGCTATTCTCTCATCTCTTGGGAACCACTCCAGACTCAAAACATCTTCTGCAGCCCCACTCCTGTTCTCCATCTGAATTTTCTGTTCATGTGAAGTTTCTCTTGATTCCAGCACAATAACTCCTTGCTGTAGATAGTCTGCCTTTGGCACCAGCACCTTTCTGTGTTCCTTAAGAGACCAAGGTCTGGGAATGCAAGACCCCCAGTCACAGAGGCAAAAGAGCTGCCTTGGGTGCCTGGAACTGCAGACGGAGACACCCAGGCCTTTCTGCCATTGTTTCCCACTCTGGGTAAATGGCTTTGAAAGAATCCTATGAGTTTTAGCGTGCTATGTCTCTTATTTCTCATGTGACATGAACAAGGGAGGTTCCCCTTCCCCAGATCACACATGGCACAATTCGGCAGCCCTCCTTCCATGTAGGAAGGAAAGATGGCTAAAGATGGCTACCCATGATGCTGTCTGCACCCCTGGCCTTCTAATGCTTCTCCCAAAATCCATTTGCTTATACCCTGGAGCCAGGAGAGCATTGGAAGCAAGAAACTGCCCATCCCACCCCTTTCCAACACTAATGATAACAACAGTGGCTTTTATGACCCTTAGAATTTAACCCACACTCCTTCCCAAGTGCAGCTCATCTGGCCACCACTGACTGCTGGGTTTCTTCTCACACCTCTCTCCTTGCTCCACTAGGCAGTCTCCAGCTCCTGCCAATATGCAGACCTACACTGGCTGGACTCCCTGCTACACAATCCCTCCTTCCAATTTTTGCTTTTCAAGTGCTGATTCCTTTGCATTTAAGTCTCAAGGGCAAGTCTGGCCTCTCCAGCTAGACCTCCCCCAACTTTGTGTGTAAGAGCTTCTTCCCAGCCAAAGGACTGTTCCACAGTGGCATGGACTTGTCACCAGCTGCCCTCCCTCTGCTTAAGGCAAGTTCTGTATAGACCTGCACACCACAAGTCTTGCCCACTGTCTGCACTTGCAGGAGGTACAGCCTGGGGCTCCACTTGAACTGCCAATGCAGCCACTCTTTAGAGTGGTCACACATGTTGTAAGAACACTCTTCAGGTAAACATACAACTCTTTCCAAAGACAAAAGAATGAGCTTCTATTTCCATGAAAAGTAATCACAACTCAATAAGTTCCTTACCAAAATAACTCCCCAAGATTATCAAAACTCAATACTTGGTATGAAAATAACAACAAAATTAAGCTACCCCAACTTAATAACCCAAGCCCACAATCAGGATCTAGTCCTTGTAAGGCTTTTATTGTTTTGTTTTATTTTTGTTTGCTCTTAAAATTCTGAATTATTCCATAAAGTTCTAAGGGTTTGGCTAGATTTGATGCAAATCACAACATTATCCCCTGCACCTTAGTGAATCATAGTCATCCAAAAAATCACCTTTTTCTGAGGTGATTTGCCTCTAAGAAACTCCTTCAGACAAAACCAGTGTAGACTCCTTACTGAAGTAAGCCTTGGGGATACTTCAGTCCAGTGCTCTGGAAACTGAGCCTGAAGGTCTAGCTTCTCCAGCACCTGAGGCCAGAGTGAAGACCTGGCAGTTCCCAATGGTGAAAGAGGCCCGCTTTAGTCTGATTCATGTTCTGAAATTTTCACATAACTTTAAATGTCAGGAGCACTCTGAAAGTCACCAACTGAACTCTATTGTTCCTTATACGGATGCACAAACAGCATTGCAAGCAAGAAGATAACTTCCCAGGGGTACATTATAAGACAGATGAGGAGCTGGCACTAGAGTGCTGGCCTCTTGGCTTGAGTTTCTTAGATTTTAGAACTTGATACAGGCCAGAGGTTCAACCCAAGCCCTCAACAAAGGACACTCAAGCCTGCCTATCTCTGGGCACTGCTGAGGAGATTGGATCAAAAGCCTTGGTTTGGTTCTCTGCACTCTAGGAGATAACCCAGCTGTGCAAAATAAAGGCAATGCAAGGTGGGACAGGACAAACATTATAAGAGAAATTGTTGCTAGGGGACTTTACAAATAGAGCAACTTCCTTCCAGCCATAGAGAATCTGTGTGATGGCTTCATGAGAGTGGCTGTATTTCAGTTGGCTCTCAAATCCTAAGCAGAAAATAAATCACACCAACTTCTGATAAAATTCAGACTCTCATTTGCAAGCAGATGTCTGGGCTAAGCAGAGGCATCCACAATAATATTATAATATGGGTCTGCACCAGGGCGATGGGCTGTCTTGTAGTTCAGAGTATGGTTATCACATTTGTAGCCCCTTGTCCAGTGCTATCATTTACTTCCAACACAAACACAGATTGTCTGTGGGTTAAAAACACACCACTTGCCAACTCTGTTGGACAGCAGAGCCAGTAAGTAAATCCTTCATTTTAAGCCCACAAGACAAATTTTCAGCTTCATCCCTAGAAGAAGGGCTTCAGCCAGAAGAAGGGCTGGGCAGCTCTCTGTGCTGCAGAACACCACACACACAGGTGGGGCAGGTCCTCAAGGTAGGCACTGGACCTGTGGTCCTTAGACAAGGATGCAGATGTCATCAGCCGAGAATTTGTTAGCTGGGGATTCCAGGCCTCATTCCCCCAGCTACCTCAGGTTTATGGCATGATCAAGGGTGTGCCTTTAGACATCATTCCTTCAGTGGTTTCCACTGTCTTCACTCCTGCTTTGGGATGTAGGAGGAAGGCGAGCTATGACCCCAGACAATGTGCATCTCACCCAGACCCTGAAGGTCAGGGCCCAACACAGGTATGTAGTCACCTGGCCAGAATCACAGAGAATCCTGGGCCACTTGAGTCTAGAACCAATGACAGCAGAGCATGCCATAGGCAGAGGTAGCCAGAGTATATCTGGAAGCCTCCTACCAACAGCGATTCCATCCCTCTGATGTGACAGTCCCTAACTGACTCTTTCTTCCTAGCTATGGCGGAAGTTTGCTCGTCTGGCCTGTAATTTTGTGGTCATCTTCATCCCCTGGGAAATGAGGATAAAGAAAATCGAGAGTAAGTACTTTCGTGTGGAAAGAGTGGGACTAATGGCCACTTCAAAGTCTGAGCTCTGTCTGGGATGTCCCGGTTCTCAAACTGCACAGGTCCAGGCTCACATGGGACCCAGAGATGAGAGACCCCAGTCTGTCTCCACCCACCTTTCTACATTCCTAGGTAGTGGTATCCTCTCCCACCTTGTTCATTGAGCCAGACACAAATCTCAGAAGAGGAAGTAAAAACTGTGACAATAAATGAGATAGCAATGTGTGGAATTGTAAAATACAAGGATGAAAGTCAGTAGTTTTAGAGAAATGATTGTAGGCATTTAGAAAATGTGAAAAATATAAACAAGTCACATCCACAATTACATAATGCAGACACACACACATACACACACACAAAACACAACACACATATTTACATACAATACAAGGAACAAACAACAGAAATTCTGAAATGAAGGAAACTATAAAATTGGACCACAGAATATAAAAGTTTTCTGAAGAGATATGAGATTCGAAAATGCTGACTTCTAGAAATGGGAAGAAAGGAGCTAAAGGTGTAGGGAAGGTGGGATGGGTAGGAGAAGGGTAATAAGGGAAAAGAAAAAAATGTGAGAGAATGAAAAGATGAAAATGAAGTGTTTGTAGATGGGGAGGAGAGGAGTGGGTGAAGGGAGGGCAGGGGTAAGGGGAAAAAATGAGAATCAAGACTCGTCATGTAGAGGTACAAGATCCCAATGATGAATGTAACTGTGCTGTATCCCTAAAATGTACCAATAAACTCAATTAAAGCTGAAAAAAAAAAAGAAAATGCTGACTTCTAAAAATCCATTTGCAAGCTTAATGAAATTCTAATAAAAATCTCCATGCATTATTTTGAGTAGATAACAAAATAATCATGAAATTCAGGTGGAAGAAGAGTGCCAGAAATGTAATTTTTAAAAACTTTTAAAAAATGCAAATGAAGCTATATAATCAAGATGTTAAAAACACATTGTAAAAGCTAAGTAATAAAAGCAGCATAGAATAATGCAGGAATTGGACATCAAAGGAATAAGCAAAAAACTTCAGGTACTGGTAGCAATATTGACAGACTTTTAGCATATGATTGTTATCAGAATTTGGCTAAAGCACTCCATAAATGTTGCTGGAACAATTGAAGCAACTGTTTCAAAGATTATATTTAATTCTTTCATATTAAAATGTCATAAAATATTTAAATATACAAGTAGAAAGAATTTTTTAAAAATCAGTGATTTAATACGAAAAGTGAACCAGTCTAATTATAAAAGTGAATTGAAAAATTATTTAGGAAAGTACTGTACTGTTAAAGTACATAGATAAGAAATTGTATACACAAAAAGATAAATCTGAAGTTAGACAACCAACTAGGAAAGATATTTAAATATTTAAATGAAAACAAGCAGTTTTCTAAAATTTAAAATAAGCTTAGGTACACAAAAAACTAGCAGAGTCCCCTTGTGCCCTTCACCCAGTTTGCTGGCATCTAACAAACTGGTTTTATCTTGAAACTAAGACAAAAGACCCTCAGAAATCATTAGCATTCTTAAAATGACATCTAATAAAAAAGAAATACACCAGTTTCTCCAAAAAATCTAATAATTTTAACACTCATAAAATATAATAAATTTGACAGAGCATTTTGGATAAAATGTCATTAAGGAAATGACTGTCAAATTGCATTGGGGGTAAATGAGGAATTTTCCCGCATACGGAAGTCGTAAATATTCATGGTTGTGGTGGTCCATCTAAATGACCATTTCGGGGGACGCAGTCATTAGCAATCCCAGGCTTCCTCAGGCTCCGCTGATATAGGAGCAATGATTGTCGCTTTGTGGAGGTGTCTTGCACTATGAGATCTGAATGTTCTCACTGTCTCGTCTTTCTTTAGGTCATTTTGGATCAGGTGTGGCCTCTTATTTCATATTCCTGAGATGGTTATTTGGGATTAACATTGTGCTCACGATTATGACAGGTGCATTTATTGTCATTCCAGAGGTAAGAACTATTTCAAGACAGAGAAAGGTACCGTTTGTTCAGAAGAGATGCTAGAGAAGCACAAAACATGAGCTCTTGTTATCCTCTTGGAAAGGTGGTGCATGTGTGAGGAATCTTTTCTGTGCAGGGTGGACAGCACTCAGCTTTGTGAGCTGGTCAGTCTTTGTCACCTACTCCAATCTGCAGCACAGTGCAAAGGCGGCCATAAACCACACCTAAACCAATGAATGTGGAATACGTTCCAACAAGATTTTATTTATGGAAACTGAAATACACATTCTATACAATTAACTTGTCCCAAAACACTGTTTTAGTGCCCCCACCACAGCCCCAGCTATTTAAAAATACAAAAGCCTTTCTTTGCTCTTGGGTCATCGGACAAATCTCAGAATTTGGCCTCTGTGCCAGTTTGCCAACCATGGGTTAAAATAAAATCCCCTCTTTACCTAGACACTATCCTCCCAAAGACAGCAGGGCTATCATTTCCCAGGCCATCAAGAAAACGCAGGGACCTCAGAGATCCCCCGTAGAAGCCATATCTGGTTCAGAAAAACCACATGCTCGTGTACGCGCACACACACACACACACACACACACACACACACACACACAC